TATTTTAGTTCACAGACTCCAGAAACGGTGTTTCTGAGGGAAAGAGTCACGAGTGGACGAAGAGCTGTCATTCAGACCGTCTGGCCCCGTGGGCCGTCTCCCTGCCCCCCCCCCCCCCCTCACCCCATCCCGCCCCTCCCTTCCCTTAGGGCCAGAGCCACAGAAGAAAGGCCCGGGAGGACAAGCACGCGGGGGGAGGCCCCCCTTCTTCTTTCTTCTTCTTCCATGCCACTGTTAATTGGTAGTTTTTGACTCTTATCAGTTAATTCTGCAGTGATGCATGAACTTTATATTCTCTTGCCATACCTCATCCTCCGTTTTTTGAATCTGTAAGCTTATGTCTTTGGCCAAATTTAGGACAATTTTCACCATTATTTCTTCAAATTTTTTTTAGCACCACCTCTCCTTCTAGGTGGATCTGGTAGCACAGATGTTCAATCTCTGTTGTATTATAATTTCCCAGGGCTCTGTTCATTCTGATATTTCAATGTTTGTGTTTTTCTATTTTTTAGATTGAATGATTTATATTGATCTTTAAGTTCATTTATGCCCCCACCCCACTATCATGTTTTCTTTTTCTGCTGAAACTTTTCTATTTTTACTTTGTTTCAAATATGTTCTTAATTATTCACTGGTGCATTTTTATGATAGTTTACTTTAAAATCATTGTCAAGTCCTTGTCAGATAATTTTGGTATCTGTGTCAGCTCCATGTTGGCATCTGCTCACTGTCTTTTCTGTTTTGAGTTGAGATTTTCCTGGTTCTTGGTATGTAGTATGATGAGTTATTTTTAGCTATAGCTTGCACATTTGAGATGTTAGGCTGTGAGACTGGTTTCCTGATAAATCTTGTTGCCTCTTATTACTAGACTAAGTAGTAGCCAGGCTTTGTTTCCACACACAGCATCTCTAGACACCTCCAACAGGGAGGCCTCTTCATTGCGTGGTGGGTGGTAGATGGACTCAGCTTTCAGGCACAGCTTCCGTCCGTTTCAAAGTTATATTCTTTCTGTTTTCCCATAACTTGTGACACTTACAAATTATTCTTCTAATTGAGTTTAGAAGAATGAATGAATGATTGATTATTCATTTGTGTTAGCCCTTTATCTACAGTGAAATACATTAAATGCTCATTATTATTCCTTTTGCTCAAATTTTCCTAGTTATTATCTGTTTGATGAATAAAGCTCATGCTATAGTTAAGGGATCAGTAAATTTATCTATGAAGTTTCAAAGAGTAAATATTTTACCCTTTTTTTTTTTTGCCATACGGTCTCTGTCCTACTGAAGGAGACTCGTCCCTTCGTCTCTTCTCTGAAGTCTCTTTAACACAGTCTTGGGGCAAGAGATCCAGGCAGAAGCTATAATTTAATTTTTTCTCTTCTTCCAGGTAATTGGTCATTTTGGTATTCTCTGACTCCTAGTAATGCTGAAGGTGTGGGTTATATGCTATTTTATTTACTCTTCTTATTCATTAGTGTACTTTGCTGAAGGATGTGTGAATTCAGGTACATGCTATCAACAAGATAGCTATAATATGGATCTCCTAATAGGAAACATCTCTGGCTATCACATGAAATGAGACCAGTGACAGCAAGGAAATCTGCATATAAGCTCTTTGACCTTGAAAGAATCACCAAATCTTTGAGCCTATTTTCTTTTACGTCTTTGCAAAATTAACATGGGTATAGGGCATGGTTTTCAGTTGGGAACATTTTATAAGGGATTTGCAAATATGTTTTTTCCTCAAATGAAGTTAAAGTGCTAAGTCATTTTCTTTATCTGCTTACGTTAGTAGTCTGAAAAATTGTGTCACTAAGTATGTTTAAAACCATAGAGGATAGACAATCTTTTTGGTTTTCTTTAGACTGGAAGTAACATGGTATGTTGGCCTCATCCTGTAAATAGTGTTTTTGTGTTATTTTTAGGTACCCCATTTATGAGGATAGGTAGAATTACTTTTCTACCTGTTTTAAAATATATCTGTCTGTCCTCAGGGACAGGGTCTATTGGAATATTTTTAAAATAAAAAAGTAAATAAACAATTTGCCTGATACATAAATGCAAAAATTGGGATAGAAGTTGTCTCAGATTTTTGTGACGAGTGATCTGAGATAGGAGTTGAGAGAAAGCTAAGGTACCTGCTACTTAATAGGTAAGCACATATCTTTGTCCTTTAAACCCAGACATATAAAACACTCCTAAAAGGTATAATGTATATTTTAAGTATTGAAACAAATATATACACTGGTTATTTTTTATTTCCTATAGATTCTTGTAGACACTGTTTGGGCTCTGTCCTACTTAACTGATGGAGGTAATGAGCAGATACAGATGGTTATTGATTCTGGGGTTGTGCCATTTCTTGTGCCCCTTCTGAGCCACCAGGAAGTAAAAGTTCAAGTAAGTATGTTAAAATTTTTCTTACGTGTATAGAATTGTGTTTGCTATAATGAGTTAACTTGTACAACCAGGCTTCAATTCTGTCTGTAAGTGCTCATCGTTTATAGTTCTCCTGTTAGTTTCCTCACCCTAATTTTGTGATTTCCAAATCTTTATTTCACCCATGTTCTTTGCTGAGGGTCAGACTCGGCATGGAAGTTGTTCTTTTAGACACGTCCTCTAAGAACACGTCTCTTAAAAATAGCCAGGCTTTGAGGGTGGGGGGTGGGGGGGCACCTATAGTCCCAGCTACTCAGGAGGCTGAGGCAAGAGAATCTCTTGGGCCCAAGAGTTTGAGGTTGCTGTGAGCCATGATACAACATCACTCTACCAAGGGCAACAAAATGAGACTCTGGCTCAAAAAAATAAACTAATTTAAAGTTAAATTTTTTAATTTAATTTGCTTTTAATTATTGAACCTTTTTTCCAACAATTTTTTAATAAAGTTTCAATTTTTTACAAGAGACTATTTAGAATTCAGAATTGCTTTCAATCTGCTCAGTGCTTTGTGCGAGGATGAAGTGTTAATCATTCTCTCCTTGCATTTTTATATTTTCTCAAGATTATGAAAAATACAGAATCAGTTCCATCCTAAGCAGATAAACTTAATAGAAAACATTTTATCCCCATCCTAGACAGCAGCACTCAGAGCAGTTGGCAACATAGTGACGGGCACCGATGAGCAGACACAGGTTGTCCTCAACTGTGATGTGCTGTCACACTTCCCAAACCTCCTGTCACACCCAAAGGAAAAGATAAATAAGGTAAGACAAAGTCCTCCTCATCATTCTTTCTTTCCCTTTCCTTATGTCAGTTTTAACTGTCCCTTATTTTCATTGCTGCTTGTTTGTTGTTTTCTTCCAAACCACTGCAGTGTGGATGAGGTTGTTTCACATCACCTTGGTGATTGTTTTGTGTCAACTTCTGATTGCTTCCTACAAGTACCGTCTTAAACTTTGCAGAATAAGAATATCTTTAACACTACCTATTTTTTCATTTAAATAGCACAGCCATTAGCAACTAGGTATAGGTGTATACAAAATCTGTCACTTGATTAGCTGGTATCTTTTTTAAAACAAACAACATAATTTACTCTCCATTCAAAATTGGACTGGACCTAAAGATGAAACGCCAACATTGCTCTAAGATTTTAAGGTTTATAAACAAATTAATTATTAATCTCTTAATATGTATTTAAATACTTGTCTTTTTATTTCTGGCTTATTTTATATAACATTTTCAAGGTTCATCCATTTTGAGACATGCATTAGAACTTCACTCTTTTATGGCTTGATAAAGATTCCATTGTATGTATTAGGTCATTAAATCTGAACTAATAAACAAAAGATTAGTTTATTATATCTGAAACAAGAAGCAGTATAGTTAATCCAAAGTGTACACCTAAACTATCAGCACAGTTTTCCCATATTAACTGTAGCTTGTGTATGGTAGCAGTGACAGAGCCTGGAGAGGAAATCCTGAAAAGCATTTTCCATAGTTTGTTGAGAATTGACTATTTTTTCTTGCAAGATGTGTTCCAAAGCCTGGAAGACATGGGAGTCAGTTCACAAGGTCTGGTGAAGACGGTAGGTGACAGAGTTTCCAATCTAGCTTCTGTAGTTTGAACAGCATTGTTTGTGAGACAGCGTTGTCTTTCAAGAGGATTGCCCTGTCCTTGTTGACCATTCTGGGCCGCTTAATTAATTGCAGCCATCCTCATCACATCATCCAGTTGGCTGCAGTAGACATTTGCTGTAATGGATTGACCAGGCTTCATGAAACTGTAGTAGATAATAACATACCTGGATCACCAAACAGACTTAATTACCTCTTTTTGATAACTGTTTGATTTGAACTGTGTTTGAGCACTTTACCTTCATCCAACCATTGTGCTGAATGCTTTTGATTGTCAAAAAGAATCCATTTTTCATCACATGTAACAGTATGGTGTAGGAATGGTTCGCCTTTACGTCATGACAGAAAACAAAGTCAAGCTTCTGATGCTCATTTAATTCATGCAGAACCCATCTCTATGGCTTCTTTACCTTGATGATTTGTTTCAGATTGTCCAGTATATTAGAATGATATCAAACTCTGCTGCTAATTCACATGTAGGTTGAGATGGATTCACTTCCACTATAGCTTTTAGCTCACCATTGATTACCCACCTTGGTCTCAGGTCTCCCATGTGGCTCATTTTCAAGATTAAAATCACCAGAATGGGCGGCGCCTGTGGCTCAGTGGGTAGGGTGCCAGCCCCATATACCAAGAGTGGCGGGTTCAAACCTGGCCCTGGCCAAACTACAACAAAAAAATAGCCAGGTTTTGTGGCAGGCGCCTGTAGTCCCAGCTACTCAGGAGGCCGAGGCAAGAGACCTAAGCCTAGGAGTTGGAGGTTGCAGTGAGCTGTAACACCACACTACTCTACCGCAGGTGATAGACTCTGCAAAGTGAAGAAGCTGTCTCAAAAAAAAAAAAAAATCACCAAAATGAAGCTTCTCAAACCATCGACATACTGAGCGTTCATTAGCCACATCCTTCCCAAACACTTCTTTTACTATTTCAAGCTGTCTGTACTGCACTGGTTCCACAGGAACCATGGAACTCATATTCAAAAATAACACGAATTTTTGACTCATCCATGGTTTCACAAAAATTGGTCTAGAAAAATTTTTGAAAGATAATCACAAGCCAGAGGGTACATTTGAAAGAATGAAGATGTTACCTTAAAATAAACAAAAACACCAAAAAAAGCTCCAAGAAGTGTCAAGGTGAAATGTAAGAGATAACACCCGTCAAACTTAGTATTTAGGAAATGAGACATTTCCTACTTAATGACCTATTTACATCGTCATCAGCAATGTATTAGGGTTCTTGTTTCTCCATGTCCTTCCCAACACTTACTTTCCATTAAAAAAAATTATCCTAGTAAACATCCTAGTAGATGTGAAGTGTTGTCTCATTGTGGTTTTAATTTGCACTCAGTTCAATGCGTTTTGTTTTTTTGAGACAGAATCTTGCTCTGCTGCCCCAGCTACAGTGCTGTGACATAATCATAGCTCATTACAACCTCAAACTCCTGGGCTCAAGGAATGCTTCTACACCAGCCTCCTAAATAACTGACACTGTATGCATACATCACCACACCCAGCTAATTTTTTTCTATTTTTAGTAGGATTTGGGGTGGGGGGTGGATCTCACTCTTGCTCAGGCTGGTCTCAAACTCCTGAGCTGAAGGGATCCTCCTGCCTCGGACTCCAGCATGCTAGGATTACAGGCATGAGCCACCACACCCAGCCTCTGATGCACTTTTATCTGCCTGAAATGCTAATATCCCCCAAACCCAGCAGAATTGATCATTTCTTCTTCTGTGTCATAACTTTATGTGGCGGATTGAGTATAATTTGACTCTTGGATTCTTAGAATTATATTGTCAAAAATCACATTTAATACATACATTTCTTCTAGTGAAGAAAAAGCCAGAGACTTCAGCGTCTGGGCTAGTTATTTTTACTGTAGAAATTTCAGCAATAAAGGTGATTTCTGTAGCTGAGTGAGTTCTATCACTGGAAACAGTTGAGCATTGAGGCAGCTGGACAAAAGTGTGTAGAGAGGCTCCGGCCTGTGATGCTCACAAGTGAAGGTCTCACGAGGAGGGAAAGGTACACATGTAATAGATAACCTTCTCAGCTTCAGCAAGGAGTTACTTGCTTTAAAAGTTTTTCACTTGAAGAATTTTTTATTCCTATCTATCTTGAGACCATCATTGGACTCTGGAGGTAGAAGTGACCAAGTTGGGTTTTTTCCCCTCAACATTTTACTTGAAAAAATTTAAACCTAGGCTGGGTACAGTGGCTTACACCTGTAACCCAGTACTGTGTGAGACCAAGGCATTGGATCACCTGAGCTCAGGAGTTTGAGACCAGCCTGAGTAAGAGGAACTCCATCTCTAAAAATGGAAAAACTAGCAGCTGTTATGGCAGGTGACTATAGTCCCAGCTAAATAGGAGTCTTGAGGCAAGAGGATCACTTAAGCCCAAGAGTTTGAGGTTGTTGTGAGCTATGATGTCATAGCCCTTTGCCCAGGGTGACAGAGTAAGACTCTATTTAAAAAAAAATTTTTTTTTGAAACTAGAAAAAAGTTTCAGAAATAGTTATGGTGAATGTCACCCATTTGCTGCAAACAAAAGATTCACCATTAATATCATGATTGAATGGCAAAATAAATTTAAAATATGTAATTCTTCAGTTGTGGAGAAGGAAGATACACATTTGACACTACCTTGTAAATAGGCCACTGAACTTTTTGTTTATGGCTTATAAGTCCCTTGAGGTTAGAATAATACTTAGGTTATATAGATCCATCCTAGACTACTTACATGCTTAATTTGTATGGAATATATGAATGATTATTTTGTCAGTAAATATTTCTAAAATAAAACATTTCACCTTCCTTTGAAGTAGTTTTTAATAAAGTTTGGAGAAATTCAGTCATATATTTATTTCTACCTGACTTTTAGAGGGAGCTAATATACAGAAATAACGAGTTTCGTGAATAGTGATTTTTGTCTGCTCACTTCTGTATTGCTATTATTTAGAATAAAGCAATTTATTTATTTATTTAGAGACAGAATCTCACTCTGTTGCATGGGTAGAAGGTAGTGATGTCATTATAACTGACAGCAACCTCAGACTCCTGGGCTCACATGACCCTCCTGCCTCAGCCTCCCCTTATCTGGGACTAGGGATGTGCCTCACAATGCCGGGCTGATTTTTTCTTTTCTTTTGTGGAGATGGGGTCTCACTCTTGCTCAGGCAAGTCTTGAACTCAAGCAGCCCTCCCACCTCAGCCTCCTAGAGTACTGGAATTATAGGCATGAGCCACCATGACCAGTGGCTTATATGTATTTTTGAATGGGTAAGTGCAAGGTTAATGGGGCCCAAATATCATGAATCGCAGTTTCTTTATAACTTGTTTAAAATGCAAGATGTTGTATAACCTAATCACATTTTAGATGCTGTGTCTTTAACACACCTCAGGTGATTTTGTTATTGTGTGTGTGTGTCTCTGTGTGTGTGTGTTTAATTATAGGAAGCAGTGTGGTTCCTTTCCAACATAACAGCAGGCAACCAGCAACAAGTCCAAGCCGTAATAGATGCTGGATTAATCCCGATGATTATTCATCAGCTTGCTAAGGTCAGTCATAAGTTCATCATATTTTTTCATATGTTATAGCCAGAACTTTTTGGATAAATAATTCATTTTATGATTTTGTTTTTACCTTCAGGGAGACTTTGGAACACAAAAAGAAGCTGCTTGGGCCATCAGCAATTTAACAATAAGTGGCAGAAAAGATCAGGTGAGTTTGAAAAACCTGACTGCCATGATTATTACCACTGGAAAGTACACTGCTCTCTCAAGTTGAATAGTTACCATTTATTTTTTCACTCTGTCCTGTGTTCTTTGGGGTAAAAGATAATTATTATCCTGTTTGTTTTTTATTTAAAGAGACAGGGTTTTCACATGTTGTCCAGGATGAAGTGCGGTGGCTCTTCACAGGCACAGTGCAGTGCAGTGCAGCCTGGAGTGAGCTCCTGGCTCAAGCCATCCTCCTTTCTTAGCCTCCTGAGTAGCTGGGACTATAAGCATGTGCCACTGCACCCAGCTGGGGAAAAGATAACTATATACTAGATACAAATATTTCTTCTCTTTTTTTTCTAGGTTGAGTATCTTGTACAACAGAATGTAATACCACCATTCTGTAATTTACTGTCAGTAAAAGATTCTCAAGTGGTTCAGGTGGTTCTAGACGGTCTAAAGAACATTCTGATAATGGCTGGTGATGAAGCAAGCACAATAGCTGAAATAATAGAGGAATGTGGAGGTAAGAGTCGATTGACTGAAGAGCAGTAGTTGACCCCTGGAACTCTAAAGCATTAGTTTTTATAAAGTCAATTATTAGAAAGAAAATTATTAGGATATGTTGTTAAATGATTACAGTATGTTGCTGTTCTTTATTTGCTATATGAGCCTTCTAAGAGGATTTTCCAGAAAAAATTCCATACTTTGCAGAAAACTGTTGTGAAGACTGCTCTATAACCTTCCTAGAGCTTGAGGTTGCTTTTTAGGAAACCTAGTACTTCTCTTGAGTCATAATACATAAGCAAACTGAAGCCCCTTAAAACCACTACCATAGACATACTTAAGTTTGAAAAGCTTTGTTAATCCAACATTTCTCAAACTTGACATTGAAACCCTTTTGTTCAGGTTGTGTCTGTTTGATTCTGTGGACCCTACTTTAGGAAATATTTTATTGTTGGAAAGGGTTAATGATTTCCAAGTCATCTAGATATTTTGTTGCAGTCCTGTAGGTTGTAATGGTTCTTACTAGTGCCACAACTGCATGCATGCTGAAGTATGTTATGAAAGTTACTTTGAGATTTTAATGAGAAAAAACTGTGATTTGAAATACTGTTATTTCTCTGGTAGTGACATAAGAAGCATATAGGTTTTTTTTGTTGTTTTTTTTTATTTCTTATAGCATAACTGTGTACATTAATGCAATCATGGGGTACAGTGTGCTGTTTTCATATACATTTTGAAATACTCTCATCAAACTGGTTAACATAACCTGCATGTCATTTTCTTAGTTATTGAGTTAAAACACTCATACTCTGCTTTTAGAAAGATTCACTTGTACCCGAAGCATATAGTTTTAAATTCTATTATTATTTATTTACTTGGGTGTATAGTAGCATGATCATAGCTCATTGCAGCCTCAAACTACTTACTTAGATCAAGTTATTCTCCTATTTTAGCCTCCTGAGTAACTGGGACGATGGGCACATACCATCATGCATAGATAGTTTTTTAAAATTTTTTCTTTTTTGAATTTTTTTTATAGAGTTGGAGATCTCACTGTGTTGCCCAAACTGGTCTCAAATTCTTGGCTTGAGTAATCCTCCATGTCATCCTCCCAAAGTGCTGGGATTATAGGCAGAAGCTACCACATTCAGCCTAAAATGCTATTTTAAAAGGCACCTATTCAATATGTACTAACATGTCCAAACTCTAAATAGCTTACCGTATCATGTTTTACTTTTTATATTTTCTTGACTACTTTGTACAAATATTCTACTCAGTTTATTTATTTTCATTTATTTATTTGTTTATTTTATTTTTTTTTTTTTGGCAGTTTTTGGCTGGGGATAGGTTTGAACCTACCACCCCCAGTATATGGGGCCAGTGCCCTACTCCTTTGAGCCACAGGCACCACCCTACTCAGTTTATTTTTTAAGAGAAGACAAATGTGATAGCATCATAGTACTCAGACGAGAAGGATTTCTTAACAAGAAATTACCCCAGAGATTTTTAAGGATTCTTGTCTAAGGTCACAGAAGTAGGTAGTAATAGAAGCAAAATTAATATCCATATTTTCTTGCTATTCTTGCTTTAAGATAATTCAATTTTAGCATTGTAGTCAGGCTTATGGCTTAACCCTGTGAGTTGGAACATCTAGAGAATTGTTGCTCTTCAATTATCAGTACAGCTGCTTCTGTCTGGAAGTAGTAATTAGGTTACATATTTATTTAGTATTTTGTGATTTTCTGAAGCACTTTACATTTATTATCTTTGACACTTCTCCTTTTTTCTGGTTTATTACTATATAAAGAGAAAAGCAGCTATTTGAAAATAACCTAGTCAAAAAGACATTTCAAGGAAGAATATTGATAAGGTTTAAAATTTATACACATGGATGTGTGATGCATGGCATAATGATATTGGAAATGTAAACAAAGGCATTCTGTGATTGCTGTTCTGAAAAACTGTTTCCCCATATTCACTGTGGCTGTAGGATGTTAAGACCCCTATTCACTTTTTTAAAGAAAGTTTTTAAAAATTTAAAGCTTTATCTTTTGTTAATAGCAATAAGTCATTAAGTTTCTAAAAAGTTACTTTTATAGTCACATAAAAGTAATAGCATTTAGAAAACAAAGAGAAAGATATAAATTACTGTATGAGAAAGTATGATTGTATTAAAGCAGTCTGGTTCAGAACTGTACTGTCCTTAATTTGCCCTGTAACTTGAAGTAAATCCCTTTGCGTGTCTGGGCCTCACCAGACACGCAAGTGGAGTGTTCAGGTAGAGTGTTCAGGCTGCCTCAGGGACCAGGACTTCTAAGGAGGAAAAAATTAGTGGGATCATGCCCCCATTATGATGTTAGGTGGGTGAGAGTGGTGTCTGAGCTCCTTAGTATTTCTCCATGGTTAAAATGAGCATAGTTTTCACTAATATCTCCTTATCAATTATTTGGTTATTTTTATTATTTTATTTATATTAGGTTTGGAGAAAATTGAAGTTTTGCAGCAACATGAAAATGAAGACATATATAAATTAGCATTTGAAATCATAGATCAGTATTTCTCTGGTGATGATGTAAGTATAAAAATATGGTGTGTCTGCATGTTAATTAAAACCTACACATGTAGGTGTAAGTGTAAACGTAAACTTACTGAGAGATTTCCTTGTATTACTAATATGATTTTAAGTTTATATTTCCATTAGATGCTCTATCAGTCAATTCTCTTAAATACCTTGATACTTCCTTATAAGGTAAAATTATAAGGCAGTTGTTTCATTTGTAATCTATTAACTGAGGAGAAATAGTAAGTATATATAAAAGACATGTTCACATAGGTTAAATAAATTTATAGATACCAGGACCTAAGAAAAGGGCAGATATAAATGTGTGTTCAAATTTTTTTTTGAGGCATAGTCTTGCTCTGTCGCTCTGGGTAGAGTACCGTTGGCCTCACCCTAGCTCACAGCCTCAGACTTCCAAGTTCAAGTGATCCTTCTGCCTCAGCCTCCCACGTAACAAGGGACTACAGGCACCCACCTGCACACCTGACTAAATTTTTATTTTTTGTAGAGATGGGGTCTTGTTCTTGCTCAGGGTGGTCTTTGACTCCTGGGTTCATGGTATCTTCCCATCTTGGCCTTCCAGAGTGCTAGGATTATTATAGGCATGAGTCACCAACCCAGCCTGTGTGTTCAATTTTAAATTGTTAACTATCTTAATAAGATTTCTGATTTACCCAATTATTTGGGAGTGATTAAAACATTTAAATAGGATTCTCTCCTGAGAGGTAAAAAGTCATTTTCAGCTTATACCATAATGTAGTATTGTAACATAATAGGGGTTTTTTTTCTTTTTATAGATTGATGAAGATCCCAGCCTCATTCCTGAAGCAACACAAGGAGGTACTTACAATTTTGACCCAACAGCCAACCTTCAAACAAAAGAATTTAATTTTTAAGTTCAACTGAGTGCAGCATCTTTCCCACATTCAATATGAAGCACCACCAGATGGCTACCAAATGATAAGAACAACGGTGACAACGGCTCTAAACACACATGCCTCTTCATTCTGATGCTTCTAAAGCAGTGGTTCTCAACCTTCCTAATGCCGCAATGTATTTTCATTGTTATAAAAGGGTCGTGACCCACAGGTTGAGAACCACTGTTCTAAAGCAAGCCATGTCTCAGTCACTTTGCAGTTGCCAAAAGTCACTCTCACATGGACTGTAAATGCATATGCATGATTTCTTAAACTGTTTTAGAATTCTCCTTAACAATCTCAACTATCCCGTTTTACCCTGTTCCCTGGTGCCACACACTGATAACTACAGTCTCCAGTTTAGAAAATTTCCGTAGTGGTGGTGTAACAGCTGCCCACCGATACTCCGTTGGAAAATGGTGCACTGTGGATCAAGGCACTTTGGTGTGATGCATATACATGTCGGAAGACTGAAGAGGTGCAGTGTGAGCTGAGCCTCCCTCATTGTCCTCCACAAACAGACTTTCATATTTCTTATGTGGAAGAATAGACTTTAAAGTACAAGCCAAATGATTTTCATTGGTGGAACGGACACAAAAAACATAACTTAAAAACAAGAAACTTGGTTATTGATTAAACAGATAAGTTTAAAAACTGTACTTCATCCACCAATAATTGATGTGTTTATTATCTGCCTCAGAAACCAGGGTTGGAGGGAGACCTTTAGATGTGGATGGTAATGCTTTGTCATTATACCTAATTTTTGAGAACAGCAAGCCCTATTTGACCCTCACTTCAGCCTGTGTGTTCCTGCTGTTTTGAAGTAATCAATGCTGTGCATGGTATTTTACCTGAGCTGCAACCTGTTACAGACTTGAACTTCTGTTAAGTTGAAAGCAAGAGTCCCTGACAATAAAGGAAAAAAAGGTGGGGGGGACTGCAAAGGTCTAAAATATCCATTGATGATTTTTTTTTTTTTTAAATCTTGCTTTCAGCTTTCAGGAGTTGATATTTTTTGTTTTAATTTGATAATTGGATATGGTTGATTTATATTGGGTTTAAACTGTGGAGCCTTCATGCTTACTGTGATTTAGTCTTAAAACATTTTTTACTTAGTAACCAGTGCTTTTGATAATGTGGTTGGCAACAGACCAGCATCTATTTAGAAGTGTCATAAAACTTTATTCTTTGAGTACTGGGAAAATAATTCAGATCCTACTCAAAAGGCATTTTCACATTTAAAAAGATACAGACAGGGATCCATGTAGAGAGATTATCTGCATTTACTTAACATAAACCTGACTTGCAGTAATCTTTAAGTAATTCTGCAAAATGTGGTATTACTGTGTAAAGTCATTGCATTTGGTAAATTGTCTGACCCAGTTATTAATGAAAGAATATGGATTTGAAAATATTTAAACGAAATAATTTGTACTGTCACAGAAGTGGTTTTGTTGCTCTTGTTTACTGGGTATGACTTCCCAATGCACTGATGTGAAAAGATAGAGTAAACTAACTTAGTTATCCGGTGGGGGGTGTATTTACTCTTATTAAAATGAGACAGATGCCATCAGACCTTTGTGAATCAGCTGGGGTGTTTTCACTGATAAAATACATATAGCAGGTGTGCATTCATTACAAATATTTGTATCTGCCAAGGTGGAGCCACTTTAAAGAGTGAGTTTTGTCTTGTATCTAAAGTTGGATACAAGCGTATGTTTAAACTGCAAGATTTTTACTTGCTAGAGAATCTGTTTTAATATAGTGGTTTGGCCTCTGATTATTTATAGGTTTTATAAATTTTAGAATCAATTTCTCTTTAAGGTGGCTCAGATTTTTCAACTCTTGTGCACATAAAATTGAGTTGAAGTTCATTGTGCCTTTTTTTCTTTACCCAAATTTTGAGTTCAAGCTTCATATGGTAACTGCATCCTGTTCAGACAAATATCGTCTAAATTTTTGAAACTGTGTGGTGTTCTCTAAAAGTAGGAATAGCAGAGTCAAAGCTAATTAAGGTCACAAGCTTCAGTGAAACCCATAACGTCCAAATCTTGACATTGTCAATTGTACCCCTTTCAATTTAGTTTCTTCTGGACTCTCTGTACTTAACTGACAGTTACCTTTTAAAATTTGCACACATTAAGATTAACATTGGGCCTCTACTGTGACAATTTGTATTTCCTCCTGTGTTTTAAGTACAAACTAACACATAGGTGAACTTCAGCATCAAGTAGTGCAGACACAGGTGCATTAGCTTGATTCAGTTTGCTATGTGTGACCTTACCAGTTTTGAATTGGAAATCGTACCATTTCATACATAAAGGAAACTAAGTATATTGCTGCACTTTTAAGTTTTCAAAACAGTGTTCAAAAATTGCATTGTTTTTATTTTTTTTAGACTCAGTTAAAAAAATCTAAAACGTTCTTTCAAAAGAGGCATCAAATGTGTTCCTAATTTTGTATATGGGCTTAGGTTTTGTAACCAATAAAAAAAGCTGCTATCAAATATGATAAAAGATTGAAAGACTTATTTCTGAAAATAATTGCTTAGCTTTGTTTTCTGTGTGGTTAAATTTGGAATTATGTTTCAAAAATCAGCCACAAAGGAAGTGAATCATGAATTACTCTTTTACTGTATTTTAATGTCTCCTTTCCACTATAACCAGAATGACCAATAACAATACTAGATTTGAGAGCATTTGTGACAGATAAGTACCCGAATCTGTTGATTCTTAAGCTGCTGTGACAGAGTACTCAAACCAGATAGTTTCAAACAGTAGAAATTTATTTTCGTGCAATTCTGGAGACCAGAATTCCGAAATGAAGGTGATGGCTGGGTGAGACTTTCTGAGGACCCTCTGAGGCAGTCCTGAGAGCCCCCAGCAGCCCCCCGGCAGCCCTCGGCAGCCCTCAGCAGTCCCCAGCAGTCCTTAGCAGTCCCCAGCAGCCCTCAGCAGCCCTCAGCAGTCCCCACTTGCAGCTCCACTGACTCTGCCTTCACAAGCACTGGCATCTCCCTATATGTCTCAGATTTAAGTAATATAACTCAGAAAAGGGCCATTTATTTGGGATGATGTGATGACTTTCATGAAACAAACAAAAACTCCGACTTTTATTTACGGCTTGCCTCTAATCCTTGAAAACATGTAACTATAATAATTGAAGTAAACCTGAAAGTTTTAACCTGTTAGAGGGCGGCTCTAAATGAAACCTTGGATTAATTAAAGGAACAAAGGAGCAGCCAAACTTCAAGTCTATAAGTATTTTTACTTTTATATAATGCCACTTCAGATTATTTTTGAAAGAAGTTGGTATATAAGTAAATAAATGTGATAGTACTCGGAATCTTGCTATCAGTTCTTTCAGAAGAATTATCCTTTTTAGCAGATTGTTTACCTGCAATAATTAACTGACATTCATGAATATCAGTTGTCCTATTGTGGTGGTTAATTTTTTTTTTTTAATTAACTGGGGCTTTTTTAAATCTGGGGAAAGGAAGTATAATTTCTCTATGTTAAGCTGTGAATCTTAAGACATGTATAACCTGAAGAGTACTCTGTTCAACCTGCCACTGATTGGTCCAAATATATAGGGAACTTTTCATATAAATGTACTAGATTAGATACCTGAAAAACTGATAGAATGATTCTTAGAAAGTCAATATGTATCATATAAAGAGAAAGTGTGTGGGAAAGGGATGTGGGAGTGCAACCTAATCTCACTATTTGCCATGAAATCCCTCAACTAACTTTGGCCTGAATCAGAGTGTCCCACCCAGTGATCAACCCTGCACTGTTGATCTTTGTGGTGGGATAACTTTTTGTCGTGTGGAGACTGCTGTGCCTTGCAGGACGTTCAGCAGCATCTCTAGGCTCTGTGTAGTAGACCTCAGCAGCACCTCTCCCTCCCATGCCAGTCAAGACAACCCCAAATGTCTCTGGGGCCAAAATTCCTCCTGGATATGATATACTGGCCTAAATAATTCCTTTAGAATCTTCCACTCACATACAACAGCCGCCCTTCTGGTTTCAGTGTGAATCATCCTATTAGGCTGGCTTCAGATGAATGAAAAGACCAAAAAAAGTGCCTTTACTTCATTCTAAGTTTTAAGAAAAATTAGGCAGACCTAAATTCATTCCCCAAATTACCAACCTATTGGAGCTCTAGGTAATAGTGAACCCCATCTATTGCGCGGATTTAGGATAGAAATGGGAATATGGAGCAACTAGTTATCGGCTCCAATGGAACTAGAAAATCATAGTATCATTTTAAAATCACTTCTTGAAACATTCTGAGAGATTGGCCCCATCAGAACACTTACACAAGTTTACTAAATGATTAAGAGTAGAACTATGGTTGAACAATGCTACAAAGGAAGTGTTCCCTGCAAGGAATTTCTTCTACAGCATCCCTCTCTAACAAGCTGCTATATACCTTCTTCTCTTTTCTCTAACAGTGGTACCCAAAGATACTTGGGGCCTTGTTCCAAATAACGTGTGAAGGACGTCATTAAACAGCAGTTTTACTAGGTGTTAAGTAAAACAGTTTTGTGGTAACACAAGCTAAAGTTTATAGAGTAAGGTACACATTTTACATGATGTTTTAAAGATAAAATCAGATTTGGGGGATAGGCCATTTTATGGAAACATAAATTCCTGCAGCAGTAAAAGTAAGAAAAGTATGAAAAGTAAATGTGGACCTCATTCCCAGGGAGTTTCTCCTTTGTGGGCTAGCTTCGGTTGTGTCAAAGTACTCTCAATATTAAAGAAAAATCACCTCTCTTAAATGTCAACTTTTATCACCTCTCATTAAAAATCAACTTTTTTGATTGGGAGTAGACTTTTTGTTAATGGTGTTTCAGGATACCAGAAGAGACAGCTCTTGTCCTCCACCTGAAGACCCCAGGCATTTCATCCATCCTGATGATAAAATTGTTGCTGGACTTGGTTCTGTGATCTTGATGTACTCCAAGGACCCCAACAATAAAGACTGTGGTGTGGCTGGTTTCTAGGCACTTTGGAATGAGAACATTATTATTATCTGGACACTTGATTTTATTAATGTGGGGGAGATTGTTTCAATTGTTCTACCAGGTTCCTCATATTAAATTTATGATCAAGTCACTGCCTTTGCTCTCTTTGGC